TATGTAAACGCATGCCCAGTGAAGTTGGGTTGACACAGGAAAGGCACTGGCCTATCAGTCAAACCTGGGGAGAGATGGTTGGCCAGAATGGATGGGGCCACTGCAAGCCCATAAAAATTTGGGAATACATAATCCCCTAAACAAAGGAATTCTCTCTCTTGTTGCTCTCTCTTGTTACTCTTGGATTGTGACTCACGGGGCTCTTTTGCTCCTGCTTCCTTGCATTTGCCTGTGCTTCCTCCATAGCCACGTGGCCCCGTGGACCCCACATGCAATGGTCTGATGGACTACAGCAGGGAACGCAAATTATGCTAGCCTGGTGCTGGACTGGACTCTGCTCCAACATGAAAAGTAAACTCTGGGCACTGACTCTGATTCTAGCCCTACTGAAACCACAGCTACATTTCTTTTATGGCGGGACTGAAGGAAATGGGACTTTGGAAACTCAGGTATTTAATTCCACAGAAATAAAAATCACTCATTCTCCCATGCCAGTGTCAGAAAATTCTTTTTCTTGGGATATTGCAAGAATTCCACTCCCAGGAGCAACAGGTGGGGACAAGGACCCCCCTACTTCCACCGATAACAGTGGGAGGCTGCAGAAGCCATAGAATCTGACCCTGTCCAAAGCCAAACAGAATAGGGCTCCTACATAGTTAATCTTTCTTTTCTTTTCTTTCTTTTTTTTTTGGTACATGCTCTAGGGGGGACCAAACCCAGGACTCTCTGGTCCGCAGGCAGGCCGATACTCCAACTGCTGAGCCAAACCAGCCAGGGCTCTTTTTTTCTCACATCAGCTCTAAGAATCTAACATTGTGTCCTAAGTACCCTACAGCCATTTATTGGTTAACTGATTCTCCAGACCTGGGGTGGGGGGTGGGGCAAGGAAGAGGATGATACAATTTGAAAATGTAATATGAAAAACAGAAAAGCACAAAAGGGAGAGGAGACAAGAGAACAATCTAAGGAAGGCTATCTTTGGTGTCAGCACTGCTAGTCTTGCCAGGAAGAGAGATGCCACCTCAGTCCCTTGAGAAACACTAAGATTTGTCTAATGGACTATTATTGACTGTCCTATTATATACCATAGGAGAAGTAGATGAAATTTGCTTGACTACTGTTTTTTTTCTACTTTACTTCTTTGTTTTTATTTATTTATTTGTTTGTTTGTTTTATTATTTTTTATCCTCACCCGAGGACAGTTTTCCATTTTTTTGTTCAGATAGAGTGGGAGGGAGAGAAAGAGAGAGAAACATCCACATGAAAGGGACACATCAAGTGGTTGCCAACCGCCCGACCCAACCAGGGCCGGGGACACACTGTAACTGAGGTACATGCCCTTAGCAGGAACTGAACCCTGGTCTCTCTGTACCGCAGGCCAATGCTCTAACTGCTGAGCCAAACTGGCCAGGGCTGTTTTTATTTATTTTTGTTACAGATGTTTCCTCCCTCCATACACCCTCCTCCCTATCTCGTCCCCCACCAAGCATTGTTGTATATGTCCACTGGTCACGTATACATGCATATAAATTCTTTGGTTTATCTCATCCCTCCCCTTTGCCCCTCTCCTCTGAGGTTTGTCAGTCTGAACCATACTCTTTTCTAAGTCTCTGGGTCTGTTTTGTTCATTAGCTTTTTTTTGTTCATTATATTCCACAAATAAGTGAGATCATGTGGTATTTGTTTTTCTCTGATTGGCTTATTTCACTTAGCATAATACTCTCCAGGTCTCTCCATGTCATCTCAAAGGATAAGAGATCTTTCTTACAGCTGCATAATGTTCCATTGTGTATACGTATCATAGCTTTTTTATTTATTCGTCTATTGATGGACAGACACTTGGGCTGTTTCCAGATCTTAGCAATTGTAAATAGTGCTGCTATGAACATAGGGGTAAATATATTCTTTCTGATTGGTGTTTCAAGCTTCTTAGGATATATTCCTAGAAGTGGGATCACTGGGTCAAATGAAAGTTCAATTTTTAATTTTTTGAGGAAACAGCATATCGTTTTCCATAGTGGCTGCACCAGTCTGCATTCCCACCAGCAGTGTATTAGAGTCCCCTTTCCCCAACACCCTCACCAGCACTTGTTGTTTGATTTGTTGATGGCAGCCATTCTGGCAGGTGTCTGACTACTGTTAAAGAGAAAACTACAGGCCCAAAATGGAGTCACTTGGGCTGAAGCCCATGACCCCAAACCCAGATTTCATATTTGACCTAATTTCAGTTTCAACCTTGTCCAGGAATGCAATCTTAGTCTGTCAATCTGGAATTTTCTCATCAGTATCTGTGAGGTAATCTGTCACCTGGGTCCATTCCATCGCCCAAAGGAAGCTGAGGTAATCTGCATGATAAAACCTCCTGTGTTCACCTAAGGAAAGGTAAGCTAGCCTCAGACAGCCTTCCTTTTCTCTTGCTAATAACTTCCTCATTCGGCCTGTGGAAGCCTTCCATAGTGTCTGCAAAGCTTGCTAGATGCGATGCTCCAGAATGCCAATTAGATCTTCAGATTTACTTGATTGAATTTTTGTTTTAATACCACTTTGTTCACACCCCAACTCTTCTCCAGTTTTGACCTTGTCCCTGCACTCATCCTATCAGGGCTTCAAGCTCCTGCCCCTTCCTGAGCCTTGCTCTCTTGCAGTAAACATTCTGCCTTCTTTTCTGGTTTTCCTCATCGCTGAAATGGAATAATACAAATAATTGTGGGAAAAATAGCAAAATCTATGTATGACAGTTGCTGTGAGGATTCAGTATTGTACATACTTGAAAATTCGTTGGAAACTGCAGAAGACTATAAAAGTAGATATTTTTATGACCTTTATTTCTAAAGTGGCTTCAATAATTAGAATTAGGGTGCTAAGGTGGTTTGGTTGCTTGTGTCTCAGGGAGGGGATTAATGTAAGATGTTACCAAGAAAAACCCATTCTCCTTCAAGCAGAAGTTAGCTCACCTTGCACAAAGCACTGTGAAGTCTTTCTGTTTACACGCTGGAGGCATGGGAAAATAAAATATGCAAATACAGAGCGCCCTGGAGCTCTAGGCCTCCAGGCCCTGACCCTTACTCCACCCCCTGACCCTCACTCCACCCCCTGACCCTCACTCCACCCCCACTCCACAATCAGACACCGGGGCAGGCTGAGCTTCACCAGGGGGCGTTTCCACCTACTGCCTTGAGGGTCCCTCTTTACAACCTGGTCTTTATCCTACCAGGCCTGGGGAAGCTAAGATTTACGGTCTTGGGAGTTTTAAACACTTTACATGATTTTTCAGTTGACCAAGAACTCTAAACCCTCCCAAGGCAGTGCCCACCACTATGGGGTGCTCTGCACACTCCCCCTGTGGAAAGCCAGGAAAGTGATGGTGTAATAAAGTGAGATTAAAGATTGTGGGAAGAAGAGGCGTAGTTTTTGCAGCAGCTCAAAGTGCTCTGTGTTGGGGGAGAAGACAGACTTGGGACTCAATTTCTCTAGTCATTTCAGAACCGCATGTCTCTCCAGGACATACAGGAAAATGCTAGAGCAATCTCAAGGCATTGAAAAGGTGCCAAGGGGTGCAAATGAAACCGGACAATGAATGGGTCCAGGCTGCCTGTCACTACTTGAGCCAATTCAGGTGAGACAAGGTTGAATTGTATATGAGCGTTTATCCCAACATTTCTGGTAGTATGGAGTGGCAGTGAGTCATCCCTGAAAAATCTGTTCTCTTTCCCCCATAAACCAAACTTATGTTGGGTATTATATGGGGAAGTACCCATTATATGGATAAAACGGTAATAGATTATAGGCATGGGGAAGTAATGCAGGCTGCAGGATGTAGGCTAAGGACTACAAAGGGGTTGTCTCCAGGGAACTGCCTCTAAGACTCCAAGGTTATTAGCCTTTCTATGATGAGAGGGCAGCTTTTGGATAAGGAAAATGGACATCATTCTGGAGGTAACTCCCCAGGCATACAGCTCCCAGCCAGGTCAGAATGGACTTTCTTTAATCAGAACAAAGCAGCCAAGATTAACAGAGCAAGGATGATTAATAGTTCTTATAACTATGGCTAATACTCCACTATGATTAGTTCTTTATTGTTCTCTCCTGCTCCTTTCACAAAGGCGGTAGGGAACCGGGTATACCCGGCCAGGGTTGGCAAAGAAAGCAGAACCCACTTGTCTGGGGGGTTACCTCTTCACAGGCCACAGTTTCTAAGTGTGAAGAATGGACAGATGACCAGCTAACCATCCTCACCCAAAGGGTCTGGGGTGTTCCGGTTTCAGCCCCGCTACAGAAACTATTGGAGAAAACAGGAGTTTCTTTCGTTTTTAGTTCAAAGAGGGAAAAATAATGCAAGAAGCGTGAATCATGCCCTGTAATGCTTCTGTCAGTGCAAGCAGGAGCGGGCTGAGGAGAACAGCTAGAGAAAAGACAAACTGGGCAGCCAGAGCTTGTGCAGCATATAATGTAAATCCACACGTGTGCACATACGCAGAGGTGCATAGACGGTCGAAACCCAAAAGTGTGTACGCAGACCCAATCGCCCACATTTCAAGTCCGGGCGACCGCGAGTCACTCCTTCTGCGCTTGCGCCAAAACTGCGCCGTCGCGTCCCCCCCCCCCCCGTCGCGTCCCGCCCCCGAGCTCACTCCGCCCCGCCCACTTTCCCTCCTTTCCAGCCCTCCCGCCCGCGCAGAGCATTGTGGGACACAAACAAAGTGCCCCCAAACAGGCTGGAGTGAGCGGAGCGGCAACGGCGGCGGCGCCGTCCCGCACGCGCGCGGCGGCGGCTCCCTCCCAACCTCCCCCTCCCCTCCCCTCACTCCCCTTCCCCTTCCCCCCCCCACGGCAGGAAAACGCGAGCCGTCGCCGCGCTCCCTAAACCGCCGCCTGCCTTCGGCCAACCGCCCCCAACGGCCGTCCCCTCGCTCCTCCCCTTGGGCTCCTCCGAGCGCCACGGGCGCTTTCCTCCCGCCGCTTCGCACTCTCGCACCTCGCGGGCACGTTGCTGCTGTGTGCCGCCATGCCCCAGCCACGGGCTGTTCAGGGGCCTAGGCGCGGCGGCCCGAGATAGGGTCCCCTCGGTCTCCCGGGGGAGGAGAGAGGCAGCGAGCCGCGCGCTCCGCCCCCTCCCCCCGGGCTGTCGCCGCCGCCGCCGCCGCCACCTCGCCGCCTCCGCCTGGAGGGGAGGAGGAGGAGCACCAGGCCTCCGGTTCCCCGCACCGCCGCCCGCAGGTAATGGGGAGGGGAGGGCGCACGGGCCGTCCGGCCCGCGCTGGGGCAACCGCCAGTCGCTGCTTGTCGCCTGTGCCTTCGGGGTGCTCCTGCCCAGGGGCTGACACTGCGCGTCCCCCATCTGGGCGCTGGACGGAAAGGAAAGCCTGGTCTGGTCACCCCCATCTGCTCCGGGAGGCACCCCACAGTCCCCTCAGTGGCATTTAATCCTTCAGGGAGGAGACTGGCCTTGGGCCCCGCGGTTAGGAAAAATTCCAGGGTGCTGCACGTCGTTTGCACGCCCATTTGCCCAGCACCCTAACCCCGAGAAGGCTGAGGTGTTACCTCTCACCTGGGCGAGCCAGGGAGCCGAGACCTGGCTGCTTTTTCCCTCTACTCCCCTGCTGCTTTTTCTCTGGTACTGGAAAGAAAAGGAATGGCACTTACAAGAGAAAAAAAATGTAACCACCTCTTTTTCTTCTCTACCTGAGGATCACTCAGCGTCTAGTCATTTTCTGGTGGCCTAAAAGGGGTTACCTGAAATGATAAGTCCATTAGAATTGATGAAAGGAAATTACATCTTTGTGAGTAATATGAATCTTAACCAGAATTTAGAATAAAGCCCAATAATTGTGTACCTTATTGGAACTTATAAAAATGAAGGCAAAATAAAAAGAATTTTAGCATATAGGCAGATAAGTAGACCTGTTGTATTTAGGAAAAATTTCTCTGACTTCAGCTGATTTTCTTACTAGGCTAATACGAAAAGCAAACTTCACAATTTGATGACAAAAGTTTGCATAGGTAGAGATTTTTATGGCTTTCCTATGGTGGTCTAGGGTTTCAGTTGGAATTTTTGGATTTAAAAAAAATGTCTTCTTTCCCCCCTATTCCCATCGACTGCCAGCGGATATTTAATTTACCTAATGTAGTTTATTGTCACAGAACGTGAAAATAATGAAATAAATGTTTTCCTATTGTCTTGTATTTTAGGATGGTTGCATTTATTAATTATAAAAACATTTATTTATTTTATGCATCACTGTTAGGCATTTTACATATGTGATTTTGTTTAATTCTCAGAACAACCTAACAAGTTAGATATTGAGTTTTATAGATGAGACACAAACTTAAGTGACATTAAGTAACACAACTAGTTAAGGCCATGCAACTAGTTAAGTCATAGAGGTGAGATTTGTGCCCAGATATAATCCCAGTGTAAGTTTATGTTCTACTTACTTCTCAGTATAGGTACACTTTTTAAAAAACTTTATTATGAAAAATTTCAGTCTTAAGGAAGTTGAGAAAAAATAGAACAAACACTTCACTACCTAGATTTAGTAATTAATATTTTGCCATATTGTTCCCCCACTTTTCTCCCTTTATGTGTCTGTGTATTACCATTTGAGAGTAAGTTGCAAACATGACACCCAAATATTGCAGCATGCATGACCTAAAAATAAGCACATTCTCCAACTGACCCCAGTTATCAACATATTTAAATTTCCTTAGTATTCCAAAGTCTCTTTGGGAAACTGCCCCCCCAATGCCTCCCAGCTGTATTTAGTCGAGATTCATGCATTGCATTTGGTGATTATGCCTTTTTTTTTTTTTTTTTTTTCTTTTAAAGAATAATACCCCTCTCCTTTTTTTCTGACAGTTGACCAAACTAATTGTTTCATAGAATGCTCCCACATTCTGGACTTGTCTGTTTCCTCATAGTATCATTTAATGTATTTCTCTATCCCCCTGAATTTCCTGTTACAGGAAGTTAGGTCTAAAGAAAAGCTTGATTGGCTTAAAGTTAAACTTTCTTTGGCAACAATATTGAATAGGTGATGCTCTGTACTTCCTGTTGCATCTAGAAGAGATAGATAATATCCGTTTGCCATGCTGTCAGTGATGCTAAATGTAACCACTTGATTAAAGTGGTGACTACAGATATATTACAAAGGTGTAGTTTGCCTGTTTGTATGTAATTTTGAGGTAGTACTTGAACACCAAGCAAATATCCTGTTTCTAACTACCTTTTGCTTGGTGATTTTCATACCCATTGATAACTCTTTATCAGTTATTTTACTGAAGATTTTCTGTAAGGTAGATGTTTTTTCATTAACCCTAAGGGAACTAAAGTTTCTCCTAGAAACACAGAGGAAACGTTGAATTCTCTTTAATTAATCAATAATCAGGGTAAAGAGCTGGGGAAATAGTCACCCGCAATGGTGGCAAGTGAATTTTTATTTTTCCCTTCTTTATGGGATACCACTATGGGTGTGTGAGTTTTAATCTTTTCATTTTTGGGGGGTAATGGTTACAGTCAGTTTTCTTTTTGGTGATCAAAGTAGGGCCCCTTTCAAGCTGGCTCCTGTCTTTTTTTTTTTTTTTTGGTAAATGCCCCTAGTGGGAACCGAACCCCGGACTCTGGTCCACAGGCCGATGCTCCAATCGCTGAGCCAAACCAGCCAGGGCTCTTTTGTCTTTTTAACACTTCTGTTCGTTAGTCTTGGAGGGCTTTTTGGCACAAATTATCCCTGGCTTGCCTTACTACTTCCTTTGTTCGAGATCTGGAATGGGCTATTTATCTAAGGAGTCTTGGTTCTTTTCAGTGAGAAATGGTATGTAGAAACCAAGATCTGGGCGTTTGGCATCTTCACTGCTACTGGAGTGTCAGTGCTTTTAGACCCTTTTGGAGGAAAGAACTAAAATTTTTTTTCACTTGCTTGTATTATAAGTTCATAGTGATATATCCAAATTTAACATAGCAGACTTTTTCTTAACTTCTTTAATTCTATAATTGTATCTTTTGTCTTAGATGAAAATCTAGGTGCCTCGTTAGCGTAGTAGGTAGCGCGTTGGTCTCATAAAATTAACGTACTTGTTTTATCCTATGTACGCATAAAATCATTTAAATTTTTTTTGCATTTTTATCCTTAGAATTCACACAAGAAGGATGTATAATCAGATTATTTGCCATGTTCAGAAGTCACTGGAAAATAACCTTTTCTCTGGTTATGCTACCAGTTTGATATGGTTCACTGGTTTCATTATTTATTTTAAGGTGGTTTTGTTTTTTTTTAATATGTAAAATATACATGGTTCAGAAGTCAAAATATTGTAAAAGTATGCCTAAAGAAGCCTCACCCGAATTAGTGTCTAAGATGAAGTATTTTTTACCTTTACCATAAACCTTTTAAAAGCTACTATATTGTCATATATCTTAACTGCCAAAAGATCAGTAGTGGACAAAGTCTGTTACTTGAAGCAAATATAGGAGTACTGCTTTTAGATTTTGGGCAAGGAAAAAGCACTAAAACTAATCTTTAGAGGTGAACAGAGTAGACTTCAAGGTTGTTTTTACAAGTTTTTCTTGAAAATCATGTCTTTAAAGAGGAATATAGTTGGTAGAACTTTTATATGCCACATAACAAAACTGGCATATACATTTGCTATCTGCACATATAAGAGGCATTTGGACACGTGATCCAGTGAAGATAGCATATTTTGTTTAGATTGGGCAAAAACATTTTTTATTGATTTGAGAGAGAGAGAGAGAGAAAAAAACATTGATTTGTTGTTCCACTGATTTATGCATTCTTTGGTTGATACTGGTATGTGTCCTGATGGGGAATCAAACCACTAACCTTGATGTATTAGGACAACGTTCTAACCAACTGAGCTGCCTGGGCAAGGCTGGATTGGCCAAAATCTGATAGAAATTATATATATGTCTTAAAATGAGGGTTTAAGAGGGAGCAATGATTGTCTGAAGTTGACAGCACAATTGGGCAGTTTATCAGCTGCCTATCACCAGGTGCTGAAAAGCAAAAAATGTCTGTTGTTTAAAAAAAAATTTTTTTTTTATTGATCTTTAAAGAGAGAGGAATGCCCAAAATCCAGGTTTCAAACTCAAGCCTGTTGGTCTTCAGAGTTAGCGCTTAACTACTTTGCTGGAGCTGACAACTAAATACAACGCGTCGTAAAAGTTAATATATGTTCATTCACCAGAAATTTGAGAAACTACATGACTGATTTTTGTCCTGTAGCAACACTGAAGATCACCTGCCTAGAGCCCCACATGCTTATCATCTGTTATATCAGACCTTGCCTCAAAAACTGCATTTAGAACCCAGCCGGCGTGGCTTAGTGGATTGAGCATTGGATTGAGATGTCCTGGTTCAATTCCCAGTCAGGCCACATGCCTGGGTTTTGGGCTCCATACCCAGTAGGGGGCATGTAGGAGGCAGCCAGTCGATGTTTCTCTCTCACATTGATATTTCTGTCTCTTCCTCTCTCTCTAAAAAAATCAATAAAAACATTTTAATTTTTATCCTTACCCGAGGACATTTTTGCATTTATCTTCAGATAGAGCAGGGGAGAGAGAGAGAGAGAGAGAAACATTGATGTGAGACAGACATATCAACTGGTTGCCACCCACACAACCCCACCTAGGGCTGGGGACAAACTGCAACCAAGGTACGTGCCCTTAGCGGGAACCAAACCGGTGTCTCTCTGGTTCGCAGGCCAACACTCTAACTGGTGAGCCAAACCAGCAATAAAAACATTGAAAAAAAAATAGCATTTTAATTAACAAGTAGTTAAAACGTCAAAAATCAAGGTGGATTGATGGATGGATAAATCCTATCCCATTGATATATGATAAAACAAGTATAATAGATTGTTATTTTTTTTTCTTTATTGCTTTTAGACAGGAAGGGAGAGGGAGAGAGAGACAGAAACATCGATGAGGGAGAACATCGATTGGCCGCCTCCTGCATGTCCCTACTGGGGATCAGGCACACAACCTAGGCATGTGCCCTAACTAAGAATCGAACCGGCAACCTCTTGGTGCATGGGTCGATGCTCAACCACTGAGTCACATCGGCTGGGCAAGTATAGTAGATTGTTAATGGTAGAATTTAGGTCTGGCTATTTAGGCATTAACCTGTAAATTCTTTTTTCTTTTTTTTTTTAATCCTCACCCAAGGACATTTTTCCATTTTTTGTTCAGCTAGAGTGGGTGG